ATATTTAGCACTTCACCCCTATGTTACTGATTTGGTCACTTTACCCCCTGAGGTTGACATGTGGTAGCGGTCGTTTGTTTGTGTGATGGGAAATGGTTAATGTCTGAAACGCCCTTTTATTTTCCTACTATTTACAGGTCAAAACCACGATTCTCATTTACACTATTCATTTTATTTTCCTTCACAGAGGGGAGGGAAGTGTCAACCCTTCAAACCACATGGAGCTGAGTACTATTTAGCGTAACTCCATTATTAATGTGTATATATAAAACTAATACATTATTAATATGTATATATAAAAATAATCTTAAAGTATTAGTATCAATATAAGTATTAGCAGTAGTACCAATAACTGTAATAGTATTAGTATCAATATCAGTATTAGTATTAGTATCAGTATTTATATTCATATCAATATTAGTATTAATATCAGTATTAGTATTAGTATTAGTATTATTATTAATATTAGTATTAGTATTAGTATTAATATTAGTATTAGTATTAGAATTAGTGTTAGTATTTGTAGTAGAATTAGGTATTAATATTAGTATTAGTATTAGTATTAGTATTAGTATTAGTATTAGTATTAGTATTAGTATTAGTATTAGTATTAGTATTAGTATTAGTATTAGTATTAGTATTAGTATTAGTATTAGTATTAGTATTAGTATTAGTATTAGTATTAGTATTAGTATTAGTATTAATATTAGTGTTAGTATTAGTATTAGTATTAGTATTAGTATTAATATTTGTATTAGTATTAGTATTAGTATTAGTATTAGTATTAGTATTAGTATTTGTGTTAGTATTAATATATGTATTAGTATTAGTATTAGAATTAGTATGAGTATCAATATCAATATAAGTATTAATATTAGTATCAAAATTAGTATTAGTAACAATATTGGTATCATTATTGTAGTGGCGTATCTATCTTTTCTCTTTTGCGATATTAATAAGTTGTATTGTTGTTTGAATAATGTGCATCACTTACTGAACGTCGTTAGTGATAAACTTGCAGGTTATTTGAATATCTATTGTGTTACTTCTCTGCTGTCGTGTTTATTGTTAAGTTAGTTATTTTGCAGAAGATTCACATGGTGTAGTAGATTGCATTCCATGAAATAGAATTATGCCATATATTTTAGATGATTTCACTTAATCTTCATATCGTGTTTTGTGCGCTTCGCGTTTTCTTCTTTGTAATATTTAATTGAATTTCATTTGTTACAACTCTTAATTAAGAGATAAAATTTATATTTTTTTATTTCCTTCCATTTTGTTACTTGAATTGGTGTTCTTATAAATAGATAGTCGTTTACATATTATTATTATTTTTCCCATTTTAAAACTGACCTCCGTGCAACGCACGGGTGAAGTACTAGTACATTATTAATATGTATATATAAAAATAATCTTAAAAAGTTGCCTTTTATAATTGAAATTATTTTCTTTTACATGATTGTAGACATAATTTCTTAAGTTGCACTCAAAGTTGTAGAATCATTTCTTACACAGATTGTCTGTTTTCTTTAGTTAGTTTGTAGCTAACATGCGCATTTGGTCATGAGAATCATAAACTGACACACACTGCATAATATATCATCAAATTTGTGCATTGGACCATATATTTATTAGGCATGTACCACCACTTTCAATGCTTAGACCATAAGAAAATAAAAAAAAAACTATTATTATTTATTTATTGCAATTTAACTCAGGCTATGAAACCCGAAATACAAGTTTCCGTTTCGGGTTTCGTAGCTTCAAATAATGAAAATATTTGCGTTTTTTTTGGAAACCAATGTAACGAGTTGTGACCGTTCATTTCTGTGCTTTTTTGCCTCACAAAAACAACCATTTGCAAATGGGATGCACCGTTTTAGTTTTAGTAATACCTATTCGACTTTAAATATGATTATGACTATTTTCAAGTCTGAATTCGGAAAAACTCAAAATACGGAAGTAGCAGGTTTTGGAACTGGCTTTCTAATCTAACTTGTATCATCAAGATCGGATGTCGGGTGAGAAATATATGCTTGAATCAATGAACACTGCTCACAGTTTTAAAGTTTTAAGTTATCTAAAATTTAAAATATAACTCATTCATGAATAACTTTCACATCCGACATCCAATCTAGCTGATTCAAATTGGATTAGAAAGCTTATTCAAATGACTACAATTTTTGCATTTAAACTTTTGCCAAAATCAGACTATAAAATTGTCAGAATCACGTTTAAAGTCAGAACAATATTAATAAAATTAAAACGATATTTAATATTTCAAATTGCGAAATTGCCCCTATTTAATTATGCAGACAAATTAAACTTGCGGTGTTAACGAATCATAAAAAGTTATCCAAAAAAAAAAAAAAAAAACTAAAATTTTCAACACAATTTTCCAATCGAAATTAAACATTTCCGAAAATATCATCAAATAAACATATAAGAATGTGTGGACCAATAATCAACAGTCAGCACGAGTCCACGTCATGTCATTCTCAAAGATCCAATGGCAAACCTCAATAAGCCCCGGCTCAGACCCCAACGCCACGAAAGCACCGTGACGTGGACTCCACGTGGACGTATCAACATGACAGATGGCAACCCCTCGGTTAATCTTGACCCTCGATTCCTCATCAAGAATATTCGCCTCATAAACCCTCACTTTGGGCACAGAGTGGCAGTAATACAGTAGGTGCGGGTACAGGCTTTGGTGGCAAGACACCGCCCTAGTTAAATCTCCACCGTTGATCCCCTCCACCTTCCCGATCGCCACATCTCCGCCGGACCCCGCCACCCCCTCGGTGGTCCTCACCGCCACCTCCCGCCCGAGAACCGACACCGCGAAGTCGATCATGTCCTCCGCGGACCCCACGCACCTCTTGGTCTCGCCGGGACTAGGGTTCCGCTCGCACTCAGATAGTGCCTTGACCACCACGCGCTCCATCGCGGAGCCCTCGTCCGCACGGAAAGTTCGTTTGAGCTCGATTAGTTCGTTTGTTGAAAACGGTAACTTCGAAGAGATTGTCCGGGGCAAAAACGACCTTTTAGGCATCCGGTCCTTAATATCGGGCATCCTCATAATCGTCCCTTCTTTAAGCATGCTTTCCCTAAAGAATTTACCCTCCTCAACGCCGTTATTTACGGTTTTGCCATCGGGTTTCGTTGATTCGGTTGGTTTCTTGTAGCCGGCGAACGTGATGCCCTTTTGAGCGTACTCTTTGAACGAGTTGTTGAAGCCGTAAATTTTGAACCCTATCGCTTGGTCCATTGCACCCTTTTGAGCGTACTCCTTAAACGCATCGAATCCTACATTAAACGACTTCCCGTAATTTGCGAAATTCGTCTTGGCCGAATTCGACGTCCGAGCGTACGATTGAAATGAATCGGTGCCGGCATTGGCCGAATCACGGTAGCTACTAAATGTATCAACGCCGCCGTTTCCGCCGGAGCCGTAATTCTTGAAATTATTGTTAGGGTTGTTGGCGTTCGTCGTGTAACCCTTGAACGAGTCGTTCGCGGCATTGCCGAGTTCCCCGTAGCCGGTGAATTTCGACCCGACGACGTTGGACGTGTCGCCGTAGCTGGCGAACTCGGCGGGGGCGCCGTTGCCGTTCTTGCCGTAGCCGGAGAACGATTGGCTGCCGGAGTTTGTGTTGTCGGAGTAGCTGCCGAACGCGAGTTTGTGGCCGTTCCCGTCCGAGTCGTACGAGTTGAAGCGGAGATCCGGGACGTTCACCCGCGGCATGTAGGTCTTGAATTCGCCGGAGCCGCCGGTGGCGCCGGTGGCGTACGAGGTGAAGTTCGAGCTGGCGACGTTGCCGTCGGCGGCGTACCCGGTGAAACCCTCGCGGTGGCCGGTGGAGTCGCGGCTGTACCGGGAGAAGGATCCCGCGGCGAAGTTGAGGCCGTCGGAGTAGTTCTTGAACTGGTCGGCGCCGCCGAGCCGGGCGGTGCCGTAGTTGGCGAACTGCTTGTTCGCGTAGAATGAGAAGTCGGCGTCGGTGCGGTGGCTGTCGAGGACGGCCGCCGGCGGTCTGGAGTCGAGCAGGCAGAACAAGTCCGCCGCGGAGCAGAAGGCGGGGAGGTGGGAGGAGAGGGCCTTCTCCGCCGCGAGTTTGGTGAAGAATGCAGATTCCACGGCGGAGAGCGGCGAGGCTTTGGATAGTAGAAACGGAGGTATTTGACGGCGGGTGTTTGCAGACACGTGCTTTTTCCAGTAACGAATGGTTGAAGCCTTTGCTGTAAAGGGATTCTCTTTGGCTTTCTCAGACAACACTGATTTTACCTGCAAGAAAACAAACAAACATGAAATTAATTTTGTAAGAAAAATAAATAAATAATAATAATATAAATTACAAAATAGGAAAAACAACAAAAACAAAAGAGTATATATATTAAATAAACTTACAGAAAAACATGAGAGTAATAAGAACAAGAAAATGGCGTTACTGAGCTTGACTCTTCCTCTGTCCATATTCATCTTAGAGAGAGAAAGAGACAAACTAGAGAGATGGTTATTTTGGTGATCTATGGAAAAGGACATTATTATAGGGGAAATAACATACTCTTATAATCTTATAATCTTATTTTTATAATCTTATAATCTTATTTTTTATCTTTTATTTTTGAGTAAATTACGGCAATCACTTGAAGTAAGGTCAAATTATAAAAACACCCCTCATGTTTGCGTAATTATAATCATCCATCAACTATGAATCTTCTTATACGTTCAACTGGTGTTAAATTCAATAGAATTTTCTAGATTTTGTGAAATGTTCTCTAGTTTGCACTCGTTTTGTTACACTACAATTTGATATTTACAAGGCAAGAGACACATCTTATGATCATCTTGTTTCAGAATGTGGAGCTCGACTGGGGTAACGGGTACAAATTTGACAATATTTCACTAAATTTGACACTGCAAGGGTGGACGTGTAAAAAAATCTATGGTAGAGGGGTGATTGTAATTACCAAAACAAAATTGAGGTGTTTTCGTAATATAACCTTACCTCAGGGGTGGATGTGAATTTACCCTTTATTTATTTTGCTTTTTGGACAAATGTTTGTTTGATAAAAGCAAGGAGCAGAGATTCTCTATGGTCTAATTTTATTTTATTATTAATTTAATTTTAATTTAGTGTAGTGGTGATGTTGTCTTTTATTGAGAAAGGACACAAGGTAGATATTTGTGTCAGAGAAATCTTGAATCTCACTAAATAATAATAATAATAGTTTGTACAAACAATAACGTTTCGGTCATTAGTGTTTGTTTGTCAAGGCACATTATTTTGATGATTAAGACATGTAGGTATAACACTAACTCTTAAGTTCTTACAATTCATTAATAAAAGCCATACATGTACACCACATTTCATTTTGTAGAATTTCATGCATTACTAAATCTTCAAAATCTTCAATGATAAAAAACATGTTGTATTTCACTAAGTATGTGTTACTAGTTATTTTAAAATCAATCGATTGTAATTAAGAAACTCGTGTATCATAGATCTATAGCGTATTCCGCAGTCACACATAAGTTTTTGATCATTTCTTTATCCGAATTTTGAAACACGCGTATCATAGATCTATAGTGTATTCACCATTCACTGAGTGTTCAGTTGTCGTCGATGGTGGTTGGTCCCAGCTTTGAAGTTTTAATTAGCTATTTGGATCGAGGCAAGAAACAAGATATATTATATATCTTTAATAGTAACGTTTCGACTTTGAATATGCTTTTGATCATTTCTTTATCTGAATTTTGAAAAAATCAAAAAACACAAAATTTGTTGTTCCATAAGTTTGCTTTATAATCCAACTTGAATCAGTTGGATTGAATTTCGTAAAACAGGGTTATACATTGATGAATGGAATACTAACTACAACTTTGATGTTTCGATCAGTTCTGCGTGTAACTCTTCATGCATAACTTCCTCACCCACCAGTAAAGATTGAAACCGATTCAACTCGAGGTTTTTCCAGCCTTTTGCGTGCGATTAGCCAACCTATACCTAACATAGCTGATTTAAGTTGAATAAGAAAGTCAACTCGTCGAACTGAAAATGGTCAAAATCACATATAAAATCGTAAATATATTAAGTAAAACTGAATCGACGTTTAACATTTCAAATATATAAATTTATAAACCATGTCTTTAAAACCATATATATGGACCACTTATCTGAATAATGCGTAGAAAACAAGAACCCCAACCCGGCCCCCACCCAACCACCCCACCCCCCACCAAGTTGTGCATGCCTAAATGAAAGAATAGATTCCAAGCAAACACAAGTGCTAAAAGGACAAAGCAAAAGGGAGAAATTCGTGGGGGGTTATTTGTCATATATAGTCAGTTTTACAGCTATTATAAAATAAAGAACAATCTCATCACACATTCTTCACCATATATACATATATATATATATATATATATATATATATATATATATATATATATATATATATATATAATTAAGATCCCCTTATCTACAAACTATTATTCTAAAGTTGTTATTGCAGTGAACATGTTACATGCTGCAGATTACAGACACAGTGTTGCAGAAACCAATGCATATATATAAAGTACTGCTAAAGGGACACAATTCCCATAACCCTAATTAAACCTAGTAGTAGTATTGTCTGTGTATTTGTGTCTGTGTGCTCTCATCTACCAATAGTTATAATATTTTTTGATGATATATATATATATATAGATGAATCTTGATATAAATTAGGGCAAATTAAAGTTCACTTTGCACTGAATTCTGAGGTGTATCGCATTTAGATCCCTCAATTATGAAATGTATCAAATATTCCATAGGTTTTATGGTCAAACGCACGAAAACGTAAAGATATTAGTTTTGTAATGTTTTGGTACAATTACAATTTTACCCCCTACCTTTTAGTCTATAGGAAATATATGTGAACCTTAGTCTTAGAAATATTTCAGCCAAAATAAGAAATATAAAGTAACTTTCTCCTTTATTTTTTTCCAACACAACTCATCTTACAAACAGTATTTTGATGATTCTTAAGTAATTGTTTAGCTTATTTTAATATTTTATTAATTTGAGCATAATTTTTTTAGGTTACAATAGCAGATTATTTTTTCGTGATTTATATCCATCGTAGAGACATGTTTATGGAGTTTGAATATGTTGGGAGTTTGACTTATATTAAGATAAATATTTACTCTGATGTGATGTCCCATTTAGACATCTTGGTTTGATATAAAGAAAATAGGTATCAGATTACTAATTTGATTCGATTTAGAATGCCATTTGAAATTGAGCCCAGATTACTTGATGATGATAACTAGAGCAGTCATCGGATATTATAGTAAAATTAAGAAGAAGAAATGAGGAAAAAAAGAACTAATTTCAAATGAAAAAAAAAAAGGAAAAGGTAATAAAATTAGGCACGTTAAGCTTTCAGCCCTAGCACAATATATATAGCCAACCGAAGGGTTAAAAGGTAAGGGGGGAAAAAAAGCCAAGGCTATAACAACGACCGGTAACAAGAAAGTCAACAGATAACGTCAGCATATTTAAACATAATGCAACGATGAGGGGAAGATGATATTTAGTACATTTTATAATTGAGAGATGTGTTTGCGACATACTCCATAATTCAGTGGCGCAAAGGGAATTTCGCCCCTTCTAATTTCTTATTATTTTTGGATCTTGTACATATTAAGTAAGAGGGTGTTTTGCTAAGTTCATAAACTGTTAATATTTTTATATATTCTTATGACTGATAATTTCACGATTCTTATATATTTGTATTTAATAATATTTTGTGTATTTTATCTATTTTAAATAGAAATAAAAATTACGATTTTATTAAATGTAATGAAATATTTTGCAACGTTTAATATAACAAACCTACTCAGGATATTTTGGTCTTTCCACAGCTAGCCAAGGGCAAAAAAAAATGAGTCGAATGTACATTCTAAAAGTATGCATATAGGGGTATTTGTTTTTTTTTTTTTTTTTGTTTTTTTTTTTATGATAAGAGAAATCGTGCACTTGCGAATTTCAAGGGGTAGTAAATGAAATTGGGGAACTCACTCCGTAAATTGAAAATAAATAAATTTTGGAACATGATTTCTTTCCAATTTTCGATTTTAGTTAATTGAATTTGAATTAATGTTTTAATTCCGATTTTTTTTTTTTATTGAGAAATGCTATTTTGGATACACCCATCCGATTTTATCCCCTAAACAAAACCACTTTCACCCACCGTAAAGACAAAAAAATGGAAAAGAACTTGAGAATTTTTCAATAGTTTATGTACAGGAAAAAATACAGTTTACATCAAGTTTACATGAATTTCATATTTAATCCCCTTTGTTGACAAAAAATATATTTAGTCCCTCACGTTTCGAAAATTCAACATACTTTTAATCATTTTCGTCAATTTTCCGTTAAAACTAACGGAATCAAGTGTATGCCCATCATTGCCTTAACAGTAAATTGACGAAAATTACCAAAGGTGTTCAGTTATTGAAATATGAGGGACCAAAAAAAAGTTTCCGTGAACATGGAGGACCAAATATGTAATTAGGCAAACTTGAGGGGTCAGAAATGTAATTTTCCCTTTATATATATATTTCAAGAAACACTAAAAAGCAAAATATCCAACGGTAATACAAAAACAATGGTGGCCACGACAACCTTTGTGGCCTCAAACTCCAGCCCTCCTAATCCAAACTCACTCAATTTTACTCCATTTTCATCGGATTCGAAACCCTCCCGATACGACGTCGTCGTACCGATAATCAACCGACGTGCACTTCTCAGCCTCACTTCACTCTCCACCACACTGATTCCATTCTGGGCATCTCCTCAAATCAAGAACCTTAGCCATTATTACAATTATGCCGACACCATTAATTTATCGGTCGCCGAAGCTCGTGGCCTCTTCCAAATGCCGCCTGCTCGCCTTACCAACAGGTAATTAATTTTTTATTTTTTATTTTTTTTCTGAAATTTATTCTGTTAGAAAAGAAAAAAAAAATGTGGTCTTTGGATTATGTTTATAATGAAAGAATCAAGATTGTTAACTGGATAGTTATGGTTTTTGATTTGGTTTTTTTGGTGCTTAATAAAAAGCGGGTAAAATGAAATCAGTTGCAAATTTGTAATTTACATAAAATTTGAGGACAAGATACACTTCACTCCCTGTAATTTTATTATTTTTGCACTTTTCCCCCTAAAAATTTTAAAAATTTGATACTAATCCTTCGAAATATTATTTTGGTTGCACGTTGGTCCAGAAGTCGATTTTTGTAGGGCATTGTGCAACAAAAATAACATTTTAAAGGGACAATATGCAAAGAAATAGTGTTTTTAAGGGGCAACGTGCAACAAAAATACTCACAATTCCGATGAATGATCCATTAGAGTTTTACTATGGGGGCAATGTGCAACAAGAATAACATTATGAAGGGTGACATTCACTTTTAAAAAAATTGAGGGGTTAAAATGCGAAAATTAAAATTTTACAGGGAGTGATGTGTAATTTGCCCTAAATCTGATAAGATAAGAGAATTTGAGGTGGGAATTGAGGCTGATAAGTAATTTCACTTGGCTCCCAAAACGTTGTCGTTCTTCAAATATAAAAGGAAGAATTTAGTTTACATCCCTCAAATTTGCACTGATTGCATATTTAACCTCTTATGTTCTCAAAAAAACACATTTGGTCTTATAAAAGAATTCAACACTTTTAGTCTATCTAGTCAAATTTCCGTTAGTGCTAACGGAATTGAGAGTGAGCTCATCACCGTCTTAACTGACGGACTAACGAAAATTGACGAAAATTGCCAAAAGTGTTGAATTATTGAAACATAAAACCAAAATTGTTTTTTTATGTACATGGGCAACCAAATGTGAAATCAGTGCAAATTAGAAGGACGAAAACTGCAATTTTCCATATTTGTGTGTGTGTGTGTGTGTGTGTGTGTGTGTGTGTGTGTGTGTGTGTGTGTGTGTGTGTGAGAGATTGTTTGTAATTCAAGGGTGGAAAACTACCTATCATATGAAAGGTTGGGTTAGGGCACAATTAATACTAATCCAATGTCTTTTATCATCTTGTCAATTGTTATTGCACACATAACACAAAAAAAATAAAACTTTGATTTTAATTTTGGGGGCTTCTTTTTTATTTTGTTTATTTTTTTGGGTCAAAGGTATTATTTGGTGAGAGCAGGGGAATCTGAATACGAAAGCTTGGGCGTAATCAACACGAATCCGGTGGCTAAAACGTCGATGGATAACGGATTATCGGGAATCGGTAAAAAGCAGACGGTCAAAGCTGCATTTGACCTAAAGTCAATTGGGGCATGTGAAAATAGCTGTTGGATTTGGCCTTCTATTACTCAGAGATCATATCAAGCTGCTGAAATTATTGCTGCTGTTAATGGTGTCAATAGAAGGTTATTATTTTGCTTAATTTTTTTTTAAAATAGACTTAGATTTCTAATTTCTATACCGTGTTTTATGTATTTATGCAGTCATATAGTCCCCGAATATAGCTTCTTGGATGCTCGGGGATTGGGAGCGTATGAAGGGAAAAAACTCGATTCCGTTTCCGAGGTAGAAATCACCCATTCTTATGATTTTGAATCATTAATTTGAAGTTTATTGCATTCAACACCTCTTGTGTTATATCGAATTGCTAAAAAAGTCCATGTGTTGTAAATATTAGCAAAAAACTCCATGTGATGCCTTTTTTTAGCATATAACCCCCTAAACCGTCGGTTTTTAGGGGTTGTTTGGTAAAAAAAAAGTTGCATCATAGGGGGATGATGTTTGCTAATATTTATAAAGCGGGGACCTTTTAGCAATTCGGTATAACACATGGGGGATAAATGCAATGAACCCCATTAATTTGGTGTTCTCTCGTTGGACGGTATTATTATTATTATTATTATTATTATTATTTTAAAATTCAAAATTTGTTACAAATGGAAAACTAGGTTTACGCCTCGGATAATGTTTCTCCAAATATAAAGCCGCCTCCAATAAACGATGGAACACCGAACGAAAGTGTTAGGGATGTTTTTGTTCGTGTGACGCAGTTAATGTCGATTCTCGAGACCCAATATTCCGAAGACACGGTTATTATTGTTTCTCCAGATTCGGACAACTTGAGTGTGCTACAAGCTGGTTTACTCGGGCTCGAATTACGAAGGCAAGTAGTTTTCAAATTTGTTCTCCTTGTTTTTATTTTTAAAATGTGTGTTTGTTAGTCGATTTTATTGCACTTAGCGCCTCTATATTATATCAAATTATTGAAGAAAAAAAAACTCTCAGTGTTATAAATATTAGCAAATCACACCCCCCATGATGCATTTTCTTAGCACACAACCCCTTAAATGATGCGTTTTAGGGTAGTTTGCTAATATAATTGACTCATAGGGGAGTTTTGCTTATATTATAAAACAAAGAGTTTTTTTAACAATTAGAGTGAAACACATGGTGTTGAATGCAATTATTTATTTTTGAGACAAAAATACAGGTTTCATCTCTCAAGTTTGCACCGATTTCACATTTGGTCCCTAATGTTCACAAAAAACACATTTGGTCCCGTGTGTTTCAAAAAATTCAACATTTTTAGCCATTTCCGTCAATTTCGCAAATAAAACTAACGGAATCAAGCGTGTTCCCATCACTGCCTTAACTAACGGACTAACGGTAAATTGATGGAAATGATCAAAAGTGTTAAGTTATTGAAACATTAGGGACCAAATGCGTTTTTATGGTGAACATGGAGGACCAAATGTGAAATCTGTACAAACTTGCAGGTTGAAAACTGTAATTTCTCCATTTTTTTTGAAGTCTAAAATCTGAGATTTGAAATCTTTACAACTTGTGTGTTGGACATGATCAAGAGTGCTACTGCAAAAGCATGTATCTCCATTAAGATTTGAAATTGAGTTTTGATATTTTCGAGTTTGGATTTTATCGAACATATGCAGGCATAGTGATCTTGCTTTTGGGCCGGGCGAAGTGAGGTTCGTTGACGCTAGTAGCATACCGACTTATAAACAACCTAAGTCTGCAGTTTACAAGTGCTTAAATCCCCCAAACTGCAATTAGATTTTATTCATTACTACTATCTTTGTATATAAAACTACCCGCAGTAATTTTTTAGTGCCGTATTTTATCTCCGGTCGTGTAATTTATTCGATTTAGAAAGCTTCTCAACTCGTGTAATTTATTGTTTTGAAACAGTAACATTGCAAACCAAGACAGTAATATTAATATTAATAGGGTAATAATATTGTGTTAACTACAGTATTAGAGACAATAAAATTGCAATCCAACATAATAATATAGTAATATTACTTTATGGTGGTCAAACAATCGGAAGAAAAAATAATCGACCCCAGAGACCAACAATCTATTCCAATTCCAAAACAATAAAATTTCATAAATTCCAAAAATCACACAATTTTTGAAATTTCGGAAGTTTTCGGATTTTTTTGGAAATTTCAAACAAAAAATTCAAAAATAAAGAACACCTAGCATGAATTTCACTATTGACTCATTTTGAATTTCAAAAAAAATCAAGTCATCTATTTGAATCACATCTATCATAGAATTAGATCGAAAATTAGAGATTCCAAAAGATCTACATACATTTCCGATTTAAAAAAGTATTCGGAAAAAAAAATCAAAAATCAGAAATTTGAAAACCAGAGTGAAAAACAGTGTTCTAAAATTGAAAATTTTCAAAATAAAATAGGCGGAAATTGGAAATTACGTTACGATTTTTTTCACCCTTTTATATGAGTTTTGTTGTGAGTGAGCCACAAGCACGGAATTCAATATGCTTGTTACCGAAAGCTCGTGACCTTTTCTCGTTACCAAGTGATTAGTAAAATTTTGAAATATTGATTTCATTTGGGTTCTTCTCATTATTTTTCTATATCTAAATTTATTGTGAAACCGAAACCAAAATTGAAACAGAACCGAACCGAATCTAAAGGTTAGAAGATAATTTTCAACTTCATTCAATGTAATTTATTTGATTATTTCTTGTCACATAGTAGATTAGTAGTACTTAGTAAAAAATGGCACGTTTCCAAATTTTCTTTTGTCATCCTTTTCTCCATATTTATTTATATTCAAGAAACGCAAAAGAAAGTAAATTACTTAAATGCCATTCACGAAATGTACTTAATTGAAAGTAAATTATTTAATTAGTCCATTAGTACATGACACGGGGCAATTAAGCTTTTTGGGTCATTCTTGAAAATGACTGATTATTATTTAATTTCCCATTTAAATTAAATTATGCCGACCTAAAAAATCGACCCACCAAAAAATCATCTTTTAGAGACGAAGTATTTCTTTTATTTATAATAATATCATGTTAATTTTTTTATTTTTTTTTTTTAATAATCTATTGATCTTTGGTGTATCTAAAAACATAATGCAGGTTGGATGATTTGGAGATTGGTGCTATTGAACACGTAAACATTCAATTAGGAATTTCGAGTTTTTTATTTTACGTCAAACTCAATTGTGTAAAAATTTATAGTTAGCTATTTAAATTTGAGTTTTTATGCCGGGGTCGAAATTGGAACGGAATATCTGATTTTTGTCAATTCATATTTGATTTTTTTTCAATTTTGGAACAATATTTTTTAATTCAAATTCTGAAGTTCCGACTTTCGATTTTTCTGAAATCCTGACTTCTAATTTTTTGAAAATTATTTGGATTGGAATTGGATTTATATGAGATTTTGTATTCAGATCCGATTTAAGTTCCGAAAATAATTCCAACTATTCTGATTTTTTTCTCCAGTAGTATACTTAAAATACTCATATTATTAGGTAAATTACGAAAAAACCCTGAACTTATGTTAAATAACGAAAAACGCCCCACCTATCCGTAATAACCAGAATCCCTCTCTGATTAACTGTTGAACGAGGTTTTTAACAGAAAATGTGTATAATCTATTAGACCTTCTGTTAAATAGGTGAGAAATAAAAGAAAATGTATGAAATTGTATAGTCTAATCTCTAGGATTAAAAAAAATATGTGAAAAGTCACACTGTAAATAGATTGATGTAAGACATAAACAATTCTTAGGGTGGTTTTGGTAATTACGAATATGTGGGGTGTTATTTAGCCTAAGTTCGGAGGTTTTTTTCATAATTTACCAGTACTATTATGTATTTTATATATTACGTGACCAAAAATTGAAAAATTTCGAATTTCGTTAATTACAATCCAAAATTTCGATTTTGGAACAAGTTTTTCTTTCCGATTTCCTAAATTTCGATTTCCGAGTTTTTTCTGGAACATAATTGGAACTAGTTTTTCACTTGTGAAAAAATAAATGGATCTTTTTTCGAAAGGACTAATTCCGACCGACCCATCTGATTTTCACCCTTAATCCCAACCATTCGTCCGATTTACACCCCTAATCCCAACATTTCTTAAATCACCCCATAACTCCATATTGTCTTCAACCATTTCCTAAAACTAATAGTCCGATAGAATTCTACGGGAATAACGTACTCATTGCATTATGCCATTAGAGTTTCTAATAATTTTTCAGGGAGTGATTATAATTACAATATTACAGGGACCTTAAAATTATTTTCGCATACCTCAGGGGTGTGTAATTTACCCCTTATTACACACACACATTTTCAATTGTTGAATGACTTGATTCATTTTTACGATTGTTTATAAATTAAGGTAAATAGCACTTAAATCCCTGTGTTTTGAACTTTGCGCACATGATTCCCTTATATATATATATATATATATATATATATATATATATATATATATATTGCCTCTCTATGTTAAAATATTCAAGAATTATAAGAAATTTCTTGCAAGTCATATACCACTAAATTTGAATTTCTCCCCACACAATAAATTGAATACTTTTTTCACGAATATATTTTATATATAGGGTCTAAATGAAAGAAATTTGAAAAGTCATAAATTTGAATTTCTCTGATTAGTGGACTTTTAAAAGAAGTGATTTATTTTGGGAGCACTTGTAATAATTAAAATATGGGTAATTTGAGAATATATTGAAAAATCAACTTGAATTAAAAAAGAAAAAAGAAAAAAGAGAAATTGATAGCTTAAAAGAACTTATTTTAAGAGAAACAAAAGCAAAACCTAACTTTATAAACGCATGAAATCAGATTATAAGCAAAAACAAAACTTAAAAGCTGTTTCCAAAAGCTTTTGCAAACGTCACATGAGAAGAAAAAAAACAACGAAATGCAAGATGACACACATTTTCAATTGTTGAATGACTTGATTCATTTTTACGATTGTTTATAAATTAAGGTAAATAGCACTTAAATCCCTGTGTTTTGAACTTTGCGCACATGATTCCCTTGTATTTTTAATATAGCATATGATCCTCTTGTATTTTAATATAATCACATAAAGCCTTGTACTTTTAAAAATTTCATCTTTCTATTAAACGTGTTTATTTACCAAGTGGACTACACGGGTTATGTGGTAATATTATAAATACGAAGAAGTTATGTGCACAAAGTTTAAATTATAGGAAATCATGTGTTTATATTGAAATTACAAGGGACTCGTGTGCAAAAGTAAAACTCAAACCATATGGGTTTAAGTGCTATATACCCTATACATTAGTCATAATGTCATAATGTGCATAAGTTTTCGTACATGTATTATCTTTTAAATGTAGCAAATTATTAATTCTGCACATTTATCCAAAATTAATACTGACCCAAAATTAATTGAATTATCAAAATTATATTGTAATGGTTGAAATCCATTTTAATTTGCAATTCCTTCTTCTTCTTTTTTTTCTTTTTCTTTTTCCGTTTTTCTTTGTTGAATAATTTAGTAAAAATGATATTAATTAAATTATGGGTAAACTACACCTACACTTCTAAGGTATGCTAGAAAAAATGTAAGATCCATGTAGTATTGGTAATTACAGTCACACCCCTGAAATAATTACCAGAGCCAAGCTTTTATGTCATGGGGACCGATGTGTATTATATTTGTTTTCCACGGGGCCGTTAATGTTACCATAGACGAAAATTTATAAATATTATATAAAATAATAAGTATTTAAGAAATGTAGGAGGAGCAGTGTCAGTATGTCACTTCTATCTCTATGTTGTTCCCACCACTTCCTGAAATTAATAGTCCGTTAGAACCCTAACTGAACTTATCCAATGCATTATTCTGTTAGGCCTCGTTTGGTTGCCGAGATAAGATTAACCAAGATAAGATTAAATAATCAATGAAACTCAATTGTATTATTGGACCTTGAAAACCCCAATAAAAAAACATGCCTAGAAGGCAAGATCGATAAGACATGATAACATAATATTTGCGGGTCGAACCCACAAATTATTGGAGATACCAAACATCAAACAAAGTCCCATTCATTAGTTAATCATGGCTAATCTCCCCAACCAAACTAGGCCTTCTAGTAATGTTTCAGGGGTTATTGTAATTACTGATACCACAATAACCTTAAAATTATTTTAGCATACCTCAGGGGTATAAGTGTAATTTACACTTTAAATTATTTATTGTAAGCATATTATTCAATAAAAAATGCCACGTTTCCAATTTTTCTTTTTCTTTTTTCTTTTTCTTTTATTTTATTCATCGCCTATTGTTTCTTATGCAACGCAAAGAGACACACTCTCTCTCTCTCTCTCTCTAAAAATGCCTCTCACTCTGCAAATCAAGAACAATTCCCCTGACAAATCGTTACTCCTCGCCTTCTAACATAGAATTGCCCCTCTTTCGTTCTTCTTCACGCAGACTCAGCCAACTCGTGTCACCGTGTGATTCTGTTTTTTTTTGTTCATCATCCTTTTCCTGTTCGAGTCAGGTGAGTGTGACTCAGTCCGAGCGAGTGGTTGGTTAGATTTGGTGGAACGAGAAATGAAATCCTTGATTCAGAGCTAAGATTTTTTAGAATGGCGATCAAGGGCGTCGATTTCAAGTGGTAAGAAATTAAAATAAACTGAAAATTTTCGCAATTCCGAAATGGGGAAAAATTCATCCGCATGTAATTACTGGACGATTTCTTGTGATTTTCGGTAAAATTGATTAATGGGTTTTTGATTTAATTGAATATATTTACTGAATTTTTTATTTTATTTTATTTTATTACAGGTACGATGGGTTCTTCTTGTCTATGCTTGCCACAAGTATGTATCCTTTCAATTGAATGCTGATGAATATTTCTTTGTTTTTTTTGTTTTTTTAAGGCCTCGTTTGGTTGGAGATATTAATCATTATTAACGAAATAATTGAATTTTGTTTATTGTTTGGTATCCCAATAACACAAATATTATATTATCACGATTTATCTTGTTGGATATCTTGGGGTCCGATAAAATAATTGGGTTTTCATTAGATTATTTAATTTTATCTCGAGTAATTTTATCTTGGCAACCAAACGAGGCCTTAGGGTGTTGGTTAAATCTGTTCATTATTGCCGTTACGGGTTTCGGGTGATTTCTTAACTATTCAATTAGAATTATTGTGGCAATCAATTGGGGGAGATACCACTCGTGCACGTACCCGTTGCACATATGGATCGTGGTAAGAAATCTTTTTTCGAGTTTTTCGGAAGCAAATAATCGGAATTTGAGGTTATTAAGATTTTACAACGTGTTTCCGTTTTGCAATTGTTAGGTCGATTACACCACGGTGTTTATTTTCCGGCTATTAATGTTTGTGGATAATGGATTAGCTTCCGGAATGGGATTGTAAGTTTATCTTTTGTCGAATAATTTTGGTAATTTCTTTAATTCATTTTAAAATTCGTTCTTTACGTCTTAATCGTGCGAGCATTCTGTTACTAATACAGTTAATAAACCTCTATAAATTAATACAGTCGGACTGGCAAAATTCTATGAATTCAGCAAAATATTAATTATCGAACTAATAATTTAGTACGTTTTTACCGAGCCGCGACCGTAAGAAATTATTATTTAAAATATTAAACGTTTTATTATAATTCTACAAAAATGTTTTTAGTATGTAATGGATTGATGTAGGTCTCGTTCGGCGGTTTATTCATTTCTTGGAATATATAAGCTACATTTAAGACTTATATACGATATATATACATTTTCTGATATATGGATTTAGGGATCTTGGTTGGCAGCAAAGATATAAGCGTTTTCGTGGACGGATAGTTGTACTCTCGATTCTTGTTTTGTTACTCTATCCCTTCCTTTCAGCTTGGACTATCATCGGTACGATGTGGTTCACTCGTGCCAAAAGTTGTGTAAGTTATTATTTTCTTTTTTTCGTATTTCGTATTTCGATTATGAATTATTACATCATCATATGCTGCAAATACGGAATGGATATAGTTTTTCTCGAACCGTTTTTCAGTTGCCTGAAGATGGTCAGAAATGGGGTTTCCTTATTTGGATTCTCTTCAGCTATTGTGGGCTCGTTTGCATCGCTTGTATCTGTATCGGAAAGGTTAGTAGGGTTTGTTTTGCTCGATTAACACTCCCGAAGATTTCGTTTTTATTTTTTTTATTTTTTTATTTATTGTTTATTATTTATTTTGTGACAATTGGTCTTATTGCCCGTTTTGCAGTGGGTAACAAGAAGGAAGGCGCATCTATTGCGTGCACAACAAGGGATTCCCGTTTCGGAATTCGGGGTAAGCTCGACAAATTGATTTCACCACTTGCTTGGAAAGATGTTTTTAGTCAATATTTCGTATGATGATAAATAAGTTCACATCTGCAGACGGATTGATAAAGAAACTCGTAGCTGATGATGTTCTTGTGAATTGACTGTTTTGCCCTTCAGGTTTTAGTTGACATGGTTAGAGTGCCCGATTGGGCTATTGAAGCTGCCGGACAAGAGATGAGAGGAATGGGCCAAGATGCCGCTACTTACCACCCCGGAGTTTACTTAACCCCAGCTCAGGTTAAAAAGCCGATTTTTTTTTTTTCTTTTTTTTTTAAATATTTGTGTTGATCTAAAAAAAAATATTAAATAAAAACCGGAGGGTTGTATTTTGGCAAATGCAGAGAGAAGCAGTGGAGGCACTAATTCAAGAACTGCCAAAGTTCATGCTGAAGGCGGTCCCCACCGATTGCAGCGAGTGTCCTATATGCTTGGAGGAATTTCACGTTGGAAATGAGGTAATCTTATATATATTTTTTAAAATTTAATTAAGGTAAATAAATATTTATTAAAATAGAAAATGATGAAAAAATCGAAGGGTAATTTGTTATCTTCATCAGTTCATCATGATTTTACGTGGAATTTTCAACTGCCATTTTCGAAATAATATGTGAGATTCTGCATATAAATTAAACTGTCGTTTGATTTATATTACAAGTTCGTTTTATAGCGTTAGGAGTAGTTATAGTTTTCTATTTTTTTCCAAATTCGTCCATGTATAATTAATCAACGCTGGTCTAACAGAGGGTTATATTGCTCATTTAATGCAGGTACGAGGGCTTCCTTGTGCCCATAATTTTCACGTGGAGTGCATTGATGAGTGGCTGAGATTAAACGTGAAATGCCCGAGATGCCGTTGCTCTGTTTTTCCGAACCTGGATTTAAGTGCACTGTCGAATATTCAGACGGATATCGAGAGGCCCTCGATTAATGTTGTTACAACAACAACAACAACAACGGCGCAGTATGTAAGAAACGAGACTCCGAGTCAGAGCTATATGTTGAGAATGCAAGGCTTGCTCCACCCGGTGAACTCTGAAAATGGTCGACCCGCCACTGAAACGGATAGTCCGGCTGCAAATGGAGCCCCGGAAAATATGGGGCCCGTTCATGTGGTGGTGGTTGAAGAGCCCGGCCCGCCTCGCCCTTGAATTTTTTTTTAATTTTTTTTTTGTGATTAAAAGAAATCCAGACAATTACTTGGAACAGGGGAAATATGGTGGTGGCTAGTGTTTTTGTGATACTTGTAGAATTGCTTTTTGTTTGTATTTTTAGTTTTTTTACCATCTTTTTTAATTTCTTACTTTTGCTACCATTGTTTTATATTTTGAGGGGGATATATTTACAAAATTCAACTATTTTTATGTTAAATTTGTCACATGTGATTGTAGATGTAGGAAAACGAAGGTTTAAAGAGTGTACTTAATAATAAATTAATACAGTTTTGACCAATAAAGTTTTATTAATTTGGTGAAAATAAAATATTAAATTATCAAACTATTGATTTATCACGTTTTTAATAGTAACAATTTTATAATTGAATTCATCAAAACAAGTGAGGATTATTAATACGTCATTCTATTACTTTTTGTAGTGTGAAAAATGGTTTAGAGCATCTCCGACCGGTTGCTATATCGGCATTTTTTTATTTAATTTAGGTGTTTTTAGCTTTTCACCCGAAATTATTACACCTAAAATTATGGAGATTTGATTTTAGCCTTCCACCGTGGTCAACTCCATATCACCATATACTAAAATCCTATTTTTCTATCAATTTTTTTGGTGAAGGAATTTTCATCTCGCATCGGTCCGCCATTCTCCTATTTTTTTCTACCAAATATAGAGGAAATAGGATTTGGTGTGATTAACACCATTTTATTAAGAAGGTGTTTGGCTAAACTTATAAGATGTTAAAAGGAGCTTATAAGATGTTTTAGAGCTTATAAGTTCTTCCAAAGTGTTTGGTAATTTAAAAAAAAAAAATCTTAATTTTTTTTAAATAAGCTGTTGGAGATCAAATAAGATCTTTTTCAATAGGTACCTCCACCCCACATTTTTACTTAAGATCCTATAATGAGTAAAAATAAGAAATAAGCTTATTATCCAAACACTCTAAAAATTAATCCTAAAAATAAGATGAAACAGCTTATCAACTCTTAAAACATCTCATCAGACATAAGAGCTTATCAGCTGTTTAAAATAAGCTTAGCCAAACACCCTCTAAGTAGCATATAAAATGACAATTTTAACTAATTGCACCTTATTACAAACTTATTAGCATATTTATCGTAAATACATTGGTGTTAATTACTAAATTAGTTTTTAAAATATAAATACATTTGTTATTTATTAATAAAAATATTAATTCTAATAATATAAATATGCTTATTTTTAATTAATTTGTATATGTTTTCTGGTATCAATGTTGATTAGTTCATTTCTTTACTAAACTAAAACGCTAATTATTTAACAATAGAATGATAAACGAAATAGACGTTAATTGATGAAATACATGACGCGACATTTAAATTGAAAACATAATTTTTAAAATTGATAATAAATTATATAGTTAAAAAAAACTATTACTTAACATTGAATCTATAATTAATATTTATGAAATAAAATTACGATTAACACTAGATTTATAGTATTGGGGCATATATGGTGAAATACAATGAGAAACCAAATCAAATTCTATTTCCTATAAGTTGTGAAATGGTGAAATGTTATTATTTTATTATTTGGTTTAATTTTTGGTGAAGCCAATTGGAGACCAATGACACCATTTACCACGAGAAGTAGTGGAAGGGTAAAATGGTGCCATCGGTTGGAGATGAACCCATTATTTCACCACAAAAAATGAGATTTTGTGAAAAAATGGTGAAACGGGTCGGAGATGCTCTTAGGTGGCGTTTGAAAAAACTTTTTAAAAGTGATTATGAGCTTTTTTTTGCTGATAATCTGTTTTCAGATGTTTGCAAAATCAACTTTTACTTTTGCTTCTCTTAAAATAATCTGTTTTAAGCTATTTTTTAAAAGCACCCATAATCCTGTTTTTTCTATTTAAGTTCATTTCTCGGAATAATTGCAAATACCCCCAACTTTTAGAAATAAGCACTTAAAAGAGACTTAACTCACAATCACTGACTTTTGTTTTTAGTATCTAAATTTTATAAGCTATTTTTAATCAAATTTATAAAGGGTAAATTACAATCACCCCTGAGCTATGGTCAAATTACGAAAAAACCCCTCTTGTTTGGATAATTACAACTACCCCCTCAACTCCTCAAATTTAGAAATTTTCGAGATTATATGGAATAATATCACTTTTGTATCCGTTTTATCTCATTCGAACTCTACATTTTGAAGCAAGATGAACATAATATGTGTTTTTTTGGCTTTTATATATCAGATTGTGGTGCATCAGAAACTGTATTTATACACAAAATGAGTACAAACTAGAGCCCATTCCACAAAATCTAGATTTATGTTGAATTTGACACCATAAGGGTGGGGGTGTAAGAAAAAATCATAGTTGATGGGTAGATGTAATTATCCAAACAAGAGGGGTTTTTTCGTAAATTGACCATACCTCAGGGGGTGTTTGTAATTTTCCCAATTTATAAAATGTTTCAAGATTTTTATTTAATTTAGGGTAAATTACAAACACCCCCTTGAGGTATGGTCAAATTACAAAAACACCCCTCTTGTTTGGATAATTACAACCACCCATCAACTCCTCAAATTTAGTATATGGAATATTATCACTTGTGTACCCGTTTTATCCCAGTCAATCTCTACATCATGAAGCAAGATGATCATAATATGTGAATTTTAGCTTGTATATATCAGTTTGTGGTGCATCGGAAACTGTATTTTTACACAAAATGAGTACAAACTAGAGCACATTCCACGGAATCTAGATGATTATGTTGAATTTGGCACAAAAATGGTGGAGGTGTAAGAAAAAATCATAGTTGATGGGGTAGATGTAATTATCCAAACAAGAGGGGGATTTTTGTAGTTGACCATACCTCAGGGGGGTTTTTGTAATTTACCCTAATTTATTTCAATGGATGGGACACGTGTGGGTGGGGCCCGTGGGGGTGGGAACTAGCACAAGAATTATCCTCTCTCTTGTTCTATGACTTCTATCCCCATATGGATTATATATTAATAACTGTAACACCACACTTCATTTCTATACCAGAATTTTCATTTTTTTATTTATTTAAATAAATAAATAAATAAAATTGATTCCTGATTTGCACAGAGGCAGCAAAAATGGTGGTGGCCAACGCTTGGGCTACGGGAAATTCCGTCGTCCCGCCGCCGCAGCTCCGCCCTTCCTCCTCCTCCTCCCCCATCTCCATCTCCCCTGATACTCTGAAGAAAAAGTCCTCAATCAATTTGCCCTATAAATTTCTCATCAGGAGAAGGAGTAACCCTACGCTATCTTGCCGCTGCAGCAGCAATTTCGATGAAATTAAGAATTACAGCGACGGCGATAGCAATAATATCACTTCGTATTCTTCTTCCTCCGCCGCCACTTGTTTGTCGGCATCGGTGGATTGGGATTGGAATAGGTGGACACGTCATTTTGCTGAGATTGAGCAGGCTGAGAACTACGCATCTGTGCTTAAGGTCAGATGTTTCATATAATTTGTTTTATGATTGGGCAATTAGTTTGCTGATTGATTTTTTTTTCAATTTTTTGACATATTGTATGCGCTTGCTTATACAGTTGTTGCATACAATTTTTGAATTAGAACTGTTCTTCGGCCTTGATTTTTTTTTCTTCTAGTTAGTTGTTTGCTAATATTTAATCTTATGTGTGTGTATTCGTCTGTTCGGAAGGAGGATTTGGATCACTGGTTTGGTTTTGGTGGCTGCAAACGCATCGTACTGAACTCTCGTTAGGTTGCTTTTAGATGGAAGGATTCGAGTGAAGCATTCACATCGATAATAATAATCGATTGAACTTGTTTGGATTGATTCATTTGACAATAGATTTCAAATTATTAAGTGTTGCTGTTTATGAAAGAGGTTTTGACTTAATCTGTGCAGTTGCTTCTTGCAACGGGATATCACGTTGTAGTCTGCAGTGATATTTTATGTATGGTAGAATAATTCATTTATCAATTTTTTTATGGCGTTTGCTTTGTATGCCTTATGTGTTTCGAATTGATGATAATTTCATCAGATGAACTCCGTTTATAGAGTGCATCATGAACAAAGTCTGGATTCGAAACTGTTCAAAATTTTGAAAATTGTTCTGAAAAAGCAGACTGTGTACTTGAAGAACACGGTGGCCTGTCAAATTATATATAAAAAACTAGATACGAAATACTTGATTTAAATATTGGTTAAATAATAGACAGATATCACTGTGTAGTGTGATTGATTTCGTCATATCCGTGCTTTGACCTATTAAACTGTGTGCGAATTTAAATTCATTATTTTCCCTTAATTTTATGTGGATTAATGTTCACAAGTAGTAAGCAGATCTAGACGAAAGATAGAGTTTGTTAGTCGGATCATGACTGGTTGCTATAATTTGCAGTTTCAATTAGAAGATGCAATCGAGAACGAAGACTTTCAAGAAGCTGCTAAATTGAAAAAAGCCATTGCCGAGGCAACGTCCAAGGATAGCATTGCTGAAATTATGTCGCAGTTGAAGGTAAACTAAAGTTAACCCGAGTCGTCATACTTGTAAATATGTCAAATACTAAACTTTTTTTTTTCTTTAGAATGCAATTGACGAGGAGCGTTACCATGATGCTTCAAGATTGTGCCGAATTACAGGAAGTGGGCTGGTAATTTATCGATAGCAATTGCGCATCTCATGTTTGATATCGTATCCTCGTATTTCTCCTTCATAGATAAAAGGGCACTTCGTTATTTGTTTGACATACTTCCCCAAACATGAAGAAGTTTAAGATTCGGTGGTAGCTATTGTGTCGTTTATACAGCTCTATCCTCGTATTCTATATAAATTTGACCTTGTGGTAAAGCCCTATGTGAATAATAATTACGTGATAACAATTCCGGTACAGAGATAGAAGATTAGACCAAGTTGTGATTTTCTTTTCTTTAATGAACAGATGTAAGAGCACAACGTGGAAGCTAATCTTTGGCTTGCTTATTCTTACATATCATCGGTTCATTACAATTTTTTTGTGTCTGAAAGTGAGGATTCTTGTTGTTCATGATTTATAGCATGCCTACAGGTAGGTTGGTGGGTTGGCTATTCAAATGATTCAGAAGATCCTTTCGGGAAATTAGTTCAGATTACCCCAGGAGCTGGCAGATTTATAGGCAAAAGTTATAGTCCAAGGTAATAATGGTAGAACTAAATTCCTTCGTTGGTTCTTAACTTTGTTGCCGGACAAATATAAAGTTTCTAGTCATGGGAAATTGTTGCAGGCAGTTGTTGACATCATCTCCCGGAACACCACTATTTGAAATTTTTGTGGTTAAAGATGCCAACGAGAGATATAACATGCAGGTGATGTGATTTTTTTTTTTTTTTTGTTATTTTCAATTGTTATCTATTAATTTTAGTGGTAATTTTATTTTTAGAAGTTTATTTTGTAAGTTAAATCAATAACATCCGTGCGTCACTTCATTTCATAAGATCTTGAGTGTCTGTCTGGTATTATGGTATTCAAGCACTATCTTCTTACAAGTGCTTCTGATTAACCTTTTTTCACAGGTTGCATTTCTAAAACCAGTTAAAGGAAATTCGTCAAAATCAAGTTCTTCTTCGTCTGATAAATCCACCAAGGGACCATCTGCCAGTGAACCCGATGCTGCATCCATAGTTGATGTTAAGCTGGAAAGTGAACCAGAAAAATCCGAAGGGAAGAGCATTGATTTGGAAGGAGCTGCTGAAGAAGGAATAAAGAGCGTCATAAACTTTCTCAAGGATAAAATTCCAGAACTGAAGGTTAAAGTAATGAGAGTCGACATTGCTGATGATATAACCGAAGATGATGTGAAACAGTTTATTGAAGAAGAAGACGACAGTGATAGCACAAGTGGCAGTGATACAGAAGATGAAGCCACTGATATAGATAGCAAAGTTTCCGATAATGAAACGTTGGAAGATGAAAGCAATCTAGATATGAAACTTTATATTGGAGGGGTTTTACATAATAAAGAAGACGCCCCTATAAAGGATGACACTATTCGTGTGCCGGCAGATATTGAAGCTATCGAGAGGGATTCTTTCGTATTGCATATTGAGAAGAGATATCGAGATAGTGACTCTGAAGAGAAACTTGCTACTCGAATTGTGGGCGCAATTGCTGCACAAGATGTTTCTGAACTTATACCTCCTGATGTTGCCAAGGCCTTCTGGAGTTCAAATAAAATTTCTCCCAAGGTATTAATCCGAATTTTTGCTTTGTGAAAATCTTGATCTTGGCTCGGGATTTTGCTAATTTCTTCTACTCTGCTTCTGTTTCATGGAATATATAATAGCTTTCTAGAGATGCACGTGAAATAGTGAAGCTTGCAGTGAGTCGGGCTCAGAAACAGAATAGAGTATCCGAGTACACAAATTTTACTCGAATCACCACCTCGAAAGGTGATTTAGATCCATTTGATGGTAAGTTCAACCCAAACGCCACGTCACACTCACATAAATTAAAGAGAAACATCTTTTATTGATGCATTCTTGTCGTTGCAGGTCTATATGTTGGTGCTTTTGGTCCTTACGGCACTGAGGTTGTGCAATTGAGGCGCAAATATGGTAATTGGAATATGAATAAAGATAAGAAATCTTCTGATGTGGAGTTCTTCGAGTATGTTGAGGCAGTAAAGCTAACAGGAGATTTAAATGTTCCTGCTGGCCAGGTATCTATTTATTTATTTAATTATTATTATTGTTGGCTCTTTTCTCGGTTTTTGTATGAAAGTATACCGATCCTGTGGTATGCATCTTTTGCAGGTAACATTTCGTGCTAAAGTAGGGAAGGGTAATCGTCTTTCCAACCGGGGCATTTACCCACATGAACTAGGAGTGGTATGTACACCCCCCCCCCCCCCCCTCCCCTCCCCCTCCCCCCCAAATGCTCGCTGGATTGGAATTATTCTATTACCTAGGCGATGTTTGGGAATTAGGATTACACTTGATAGACAATATAAACAAGCTTTGTCAAAAATGACAATGTCAGCTGAGATAATTTCCAATAGTAGTCGACTGTATAAAAATATTATTATTTTATTTTATTTTTTCCTATATGGCGATTAAATAAGAACGACTCAGACAGTGAACTAGATTTCTTTCGTCACAGGCTGCAAGTTACAGAGGTCAAGGAAGGATTGCGGAATTCGGGTTCCAGAATCCTAGGTGGGTCGAGGGGGAGCTTCTTCAACTCAACGGGAAGGTAATGTAATTGATTGTTCGATTTTTTATTTTTTTTTAATTAATTTTTTTAATTAATGGGCTCGTGATTATTATTGACAACAGGGAATGGGCCCGTATGTCAAAGGTGCAGACCTCGGTTTTCTGTACGTTGTACCAGAGCAAAGTTTCCTCGTGCTCTTCAATCGTTTGGAACTACCCGAGTGAGTTTGTACATACCAAACTAAAACATTACGCACTATTTCTTGTATTGTTTTACTTCTTATCCAATGAGCGATTTGGATTACGACACTTGTGTTATAGTGCGTACGTGTGTAATAACTCCCACATCACAAATTTTTGTAATAGTTATAAATTGAGGTAGTTTACGAATCACTGCTTTGATAGAAACGACTAAACGAAGACTGCTTTAATAAAATTCGGGTGTTATTTCGTGGTAGATGATTGTGGTTAATACTTTTGATAAAGAAAATCACAACAAAGGCTCTTTTGTGTGTGTTCAATAAAGTGGAATTGCTTTGGCTACTTTCTTATGTACATAAAGATTCTTTATGCTTTTTTGACAGAAGAGGTATCGAAAACTAGGGGAAAACATGGTTATTTTCTTTTGTTATGAGTTCATTTATTGCCTTAAGTTCTCTAGTAACTTATATCCTTTGAAGTCACAAGGTCATTTTTTTTTTGGGTTACTTTTACGAAGAAAAAACAACGGGCAAAATACTAGTCAATCCCTTGAGGTAAGATTAAATTACGAAAAAATCCCTTCTGTTTTGGTAGTTACTACAATTCCTCACTTCCGTATTTTCCTGTACGCCCATCATTACAATGTCAAATTTACCTACTGAAAGAGGGGTTTTTTCGTAAATAATAAATAGTTGAGGATGTGACTGTGATTATTCGAAGAAGAAGAGGAGTTTTTTTTCGTAATTTGATCTTATTTCACGGGTGGCAGTAATTTACCCCAAAACAAATAATATATCTTTCTAAAGTGAATTCTAATGCTAAGGAGGGTGTAAAATCCCAAAAATAACCCTAGAGAAGAAGAAAAGGCTTGATGATTGGAAGACAAATATCCAACAATGAGGAATAAAGAGGAAAGTGGAAAGAGCAAAGAATTTGCATGACATCCAAAAAGAGATTATTTGAAGAAGAAGAAAAAATGAGTTTTGCTTACTTTAAACTATTGTTACTTTCCACGTGTAATTCATAAGTTTATTCACTTTTTTTATGGCTTATGAAAAGGGGTTTTAAATTAAATAAATATACTTTGATTGTTAAATTAACAATACTTTGAGTGTGGCTAAAAAGTGACTTAAAAAAGAAGAGTTGAATGTGAACAATGCTTTTGTTGTGTGTGTCTCAAAAGATAGGGTTTTCTTACCACAAATTAGTCACTCCTAAAGTTAAAGCTAAAGCTAAAGTTAGATTTAAAAAAAAAATCTTTATAAAAATGATTGGGAAGTAATGCAAATTATTGCTGAAAAGGTAGAAATAATTGAAATAGGGGTAAATTACAATGCCCCAGAAATAAGGTCTATTTACAAAACAACCCCCTTGTAATTTGTAGACTTCTTACATAAACACCCTTTTGTAGGGGTGAATAAACACCCTTTTGTAGGGGTGAATGTAAGAAGTTTACAAACTGCATGAAACTAGATGTAATTTCTAAAATATGAAGGATTTTTTAGTAAATAAACTTTATCTTAGGGAGGTGGTTGTAATTTACCCTTGAAATAGAGTTTCTTTTTTCTTTTCAAATTAATAGTGGTTGAATTCTTAGCTCTTAAGTAGGAATTCAATATTGAAAAATAATAATAATTTGTAAAGAAGGAAGAAAAGGTTAATCTTGTTTGGGAACAACTTATTTTGACATAGCTTTGACTATAAGTCAACGCACACCCACTAGAGATTTGCTTTTTAGGGTGTAAAACAAATGAACAAGTTAAACATGTTATATTTATTGTATTCAAGTTTATTATATAAAAAATGTCGATCTTTTAAAACTAGTTTGGAGCTTGATTTTATAATTATGATTGATTTTTCTACGAGTATTAGGAAAGGGTTGACTTCAATAACCTGCTCCATGCTTGTTGACAAATTTTAATTTCTTTTTGTTAGAGGTATATACAAAAGTATAACAAAAAAAAAATATATATATATATATATATATATATATATATATATATATATATATATAAATATAAAATTTAGGGTAAATTCCACTTTACCCCCTTGTACTCTGCCCAAGAACCACTTTACCCCCTCGTACTTTTAATTTCGTCGATTTACCCCCTTGTACTTGTACAATTTTCCAATACAACCCTATTCGTCAACTTTTTTCGATTTTGACTCTGATGCCATTTGGTCAAGAGTCAAAATATTGACGTAAATATTGAGTTTTTTCGATTTTGACTCTCGAGATTAGAAAGAGAAAGTTTCACACATTCATATATTTTTTTTCTTTGCACTGGGTGGAATCGATCAATTTTTGGGCCTTGATTTTTACTAAGTTAGGGGTTCAATTTGGGGATATCTTGGAAGGGGAAGTGGTGGGAGAAGAAGAAATGACAATATTGACGGAGGAGAAACGACGCGTTATAGGCAGTGGCAATTTTGTAATTTACAGAGTTGACAAAATGGCGTTAGAGTCAAAATTGACAAAAATTGAAGGAAATGGTTGTATTGGGAAATTGTCAAGTACAAGGGGATAAATCGATAAAATTGAGAGTACGAGAGGGTAAAGTGACTCTCAGGCAGAGTACGAGGGGGTAAAGTGGAATTTACCCTAAAATTTACATAAGAAAATATTTACAATGAAAACATGATAGATGGATCATGGATAAACTGTGGCTCATGAGATCCTACACCTGATAAAATACACCATGCGCTTTTAAACCGTAAATTTATATAAATAATTATCCACCAAGCACAAATGTACGTTGATGTATGTAATAATTATATACAGATCAATAGTGCATTTCTGAAGGTGCAAAATTACGAAAGTATATTGAATAAATCAAATAAATAAATATTGCAAGGTTATTTTATTTTTGGTTGGCTCTTGATCTTGAAGTAAGCAAACGTCACATAAATAGCTTTTAAAGTAATAATTATGCAACTTCAACAATACGACGACGTTTGCATGCACAAGTACAATCACGTAAAGAATCGTCACTGACGCGTAGGATTCGCAGAGAATCACAACAGAAATCGCTCTTCTACACAGCCGCACGCGCCACCGCACGTGAAGCGCACAATGAATCCTCCCTCGCCACGTCATCAATCAATCCCCCAGAAACCTCGTCGTTTCGACCTCTACCGTATGTTTTTTATGATACCCTGCCCTCTCCAGTCTCCACAGTCAATAACTCCTCCTCAAAAATATATTTTTTGATTTATTTAAATTAATAATTATAAAAAAAAAAAAGTAAATTACAATTTACGAACCCATCATGTTTTGATAATTACAAATACCCTCTCAACTATGAATTTTCTTACACGTTCACCCTTATGTAGTCAAATTCAACAAAATTTTCGTGGAATGTTCTCTAACTTGTACTCGTTTTATGAAAAAATGCAGTTTTTGATTCACCACAATCTAATATATACAAGCCAAAAAACACATCTTATGATCATCTTTCTTCAAAATGTGGAGCTCGAATAGAATAAAACGCGTACAAAATTAAAAATATTCTATATAATCTAGAAGATTCCACAAAATTGACACCGTAAGAAGATAAGAAGATTTATAGTTGAGTTGTGGTTGTAATTACCCAAACAGAATGAGGTTTTTCGTAATTTGACCTACCTCAGGGTGTTGATTATAATTTAACCAAAAAAAAAGATGGCACCGCAATACTTTCACTTTATTATATTTAAATTTCTGGAATTCAAAAATTCCTTTTTCCCAAATTTTCCATTGTTTCTTCTGCCCTCTTTCCTTTTCTTCTTCTTCGTCGTCTTCATCTCAAAATTACCATAACCCGATTACAGAATTTTAATGGAAAACCCGGACCCGAGTAAGCGAACCCTGCGGAGAAGCAGCAACAGTCACATATCAATGTCGGACACTGAGTCAACCACGAGCCAGGTCGATTCATGGCACTCCCCTCTCCGATCCGACTCACCCTTCCGCTCCGACGACCCGTGCTTTCAGTCCGAAAACGACGCCGTCGGCAATAAAAGCAGCAAGTCACTCGTTACCGTCGATAAGTACTACTCCCCGGTGCCGTCCCCGGGAAAATCCAATTTTCCGGCGAGTTCTCCCGCCGCCGGTGGGAAGGGATGGCGTCCGTGGCCGCACTCGGAGAAGCCCTCTTCCGGGAACGTCGATACGCCGGCGGGTGGGAAGGGTGGTCGGAGGGAGAAGCCCGTTTCGGAGAACCGCGATTTTCCGGCGGCGAAGGGGGCTTCTCCGGTGGTGCTGGGGCTCAACAGACTGGTCAGGGACGAGCCTCCTCCGCCGCCGCGGGTGAAGAAGGTGGGGCAGAGTGGCGGTGGTGGATTGGTGGGGGATGGGTACGGCGGCGGCGAGGGGGAGGCCGAGTTGGGCGGGGAACGGCGGCCGAGGGCGGCGGCGAGTAAGGCGGCGTTGGTTTTCAGAGTATTCGAGCTGATTTTGTGCCTGATTTCATTCTCTGTAATGGCTGCTGACAAAACTAAGGGTTGGAGCGGCGATTCTTTCGATCGATACATGGAATACCGGTACTATACGTTCTTGATTCTTCTGTCTTCGATTTTGTTCTGAATCAATGGTAATTAGTTTATAGCTAAGCTTGCTTTAATTATTTGGTTTATGTTTAATTGTTGTTAGTGTTCATGTTGAATGAAGTGAAGTAGTGGAATCTCGATAAATTAATAACCTGACTTAAATAATAATTTATCGCGGTCCCGACTCGGTGTAAACATACTAAATTGCTAGTTCGATAATTTCATATTTCGGTAAATTAATAGAATTTTTATTTATAGAGGTTTAACTGTATATTGTAGTTTTATGAACATAAAGGCTCGTGAGAATATTTACGAATTTCGTATTTATGTTTAAATGAAACCGAAAAAACACTATAAATTATCTCGTCATTCGTAATGTTGATCAAACGGGCTTTCGTAAAATGCTCTTTTTTTAGGCAATGAAATTGTTTCAACGTGTTTTATTGTTTCTTGTCGGAATATTACGATTATATACAAGATCGTTTGCTGCTTGAGTTTCTATAGTTGTTGTTCGTCGACTTCTTATTATGCTTGGATTGGATTTTTCTATTTTCTACCTTCGAAATTCAATTCTTTCGACACTGCAATGGGATTTGAAGCGTTTTTAAGTTTATTTACTTATCGTTTTTTTGACAAGTAGTTTATTTACTTATCAAATATTGGTAGATGTACTCAAATTATTTTTGTGTGCAGATATTGCCTCTCTGTAAATGTTATCGGCTTCGTATACTCGGCTTTTCAAGCGTATGACCTGGCGTACCATTTGGGCACGGAGAAACATGTCATCTCTCATCATCTACGTTATCATTTCGATTTCTCAATGGATCAGGCAAGTTATATAAATCTCTCTCATCATCATTTACAAATGTATTTCACTCGTTACATTACAAGGGGTAAAAGAGTCTTTTTCATATGTATCGCAGATTATGGCTTACCTTTTAATGTCGGCATCTTCATCGGCAGCTACAAGGGTGAATGATTGGATATTGAATTGGGGCAAAGATGAATTTACGCTAATGGCCACTGCTTCGATCTCTATGTCGTTTCTGGCGTTCGTTGCCTTTGCATTGAGCTCTCTCGTTTCCGGTCACAATCTTTGCACCAGGGATTAATTCGATTTCGCAATCTTTTTATTTTATTTTAATTTTGAGAAACCGTTGCCGCGAATATCTTAGTTGCAGAGGAAAGGGGAAGATGTGTATATATGCCGTGTAATTACGCAGGAAATGCTCCTATATTTTTTTTTAATTATTAATATTATGATTATTATTTTGCCGTTCGGGGGCATTTGTTAAGATCGATATTATTTACGATAAAATGCATGTTACATATTACGAAATTAAGTTGAGGGAAAATCGTGCAAAAACAACGGGATGCGATAAATGTCGTTTTAGTTTTAAAAATACCGTTTCAACTTCGAAAGTAATTTTGACCATTTTCGATGTTGAATTTGGCAAAACTCAAAATACGGAATTTATAGTTCTTTGAGTTAGCTTTCTAATTTAACTTAAATCACCAAGACTGGGTGTTGATTGAAAAAAGATATACACGAATTAATGAATATTGACCATAATTTTGATATTTTGAGTTATCTAAAACTGGAAATGTAACTCGTTGATGCATAATGTTGTCATCCTACATCCGATCTGATTGATTCAAATTGTGTTAGAAAACTATCTCGAAGGACTACAATTTTCGTATTTTGAAATCTACGAAAATCATACTAGAAAATGGATAAAATTACATTCGAAATTAAAACGGTATTATTAAATTTGAAAAGACATTTAACGTTTCAGAAAAAATAAATTATTCAAAAGGCAATGTGCAAATTGACGTAAAATGTTATTTACCCTAATTTTAAACATATTCGATTTTTTTACAAAAAATGTGGATAGGGATGTAAATTGGACGGATCAATTTAGAATTAGCACTTTCGAAAAATTCAGACTTTTTTTGGAAGTGAAAAACTAGTTCCAATTCTGTTCCAAAATATTGAAAAAAATTGGAAAAAATTGGAATTTCGGAAATTGGAACGAAAAAACTTGTTTCAAAATCGAAAAAATTTCGGATCGTAATCGGCGGAATTTGAAATTTTCTAATTTTTGCTCACCTTAGGTATAAAAAATACATAATAATATTGGTATTTTAATTGTAACATTCAAAAGAGAAAAAATTCAAAATTTTTGGAATTATTTTCTGAACTTTATATTGATCGGAAATCAGAATCTCATATACAATCTCATATACAACATTTTTTGAACTTTATATTGATCGGAAATCAGAATCTCATATACAATCTCATATTTGAACTTTCGATTCAAATAATTTTGGAAAAAATCGAAAGTCAGAATCTCAGAATTCGGATTGAAAAATGTTGTTCCAAAATAGAAAAATTTCGGTCACAATCGGCGAAAATCGGAATTTACATTCCAATTTCCACGCCTATGCGAGAAGATTTTTTTTCAATTTTAATATTAATAATAGAAGAAAAAAAAAAGGATTTAACGATTTTCCTCTTTCAGAATGGGGGTAACAAAAAAAGCTTACTACTACTTCATTACTTGTTGACAATGGCGTTCTATCGTCTCTCACGAATCGCCCGGAGTCTCCACCGCCGCCGCCACCACCACTGCCCTTCTCTCTCCACCGCAAACTCCTATTTCTACTCACCCCAACCCTCTACCAATTATAACTCCCCTCCCACTCGCCGCCGCCTGCACCACCTCTTCGACCTCTCCGGTAATTTTGGCTCCAAAAATCAATGGCACAATTACAGCAGCTCGATAAGATCAATCGGCGCCTATCACGAACTGATTCAGCACTCCAGCTTTTCCACCGCAGCACCCGACGGAAAACGAGAAGAATCGAAAAATTCGAATAGCAACAATGGCGATCGCTCGTGGATTGATGTTTATTTGCCGGAAAATGCGCGGCCGTACGCTCGGCTGGCGCGGCTCGACAAGCCGATCGGCACTTGGCTTCTGGCTTGGCCATGTATGTGGTGAGTGTATTTTGTTTACGCCCTAGGTTTCCAATTCGTGTGTATTATTATTATCATCATCTTATTTTGCGCAATTTTGTTTCTCTATATACCTTTGCTTGTATCAAATTTAGTTGAATAAATAGCTTAAAAGCTAAAGTTGAGTAAATAGGTAGCTTAAAAGCTAAAGCGAAGAACTGGTGTTCGTTGTATTTCTTCTTTAACAAGTTCTGCATCAATTTATAGTATACATTTTGATGTATTTAAGTCTAGGGAGAAAACGAAGTAGTCGAACGATAAACAAAGTGGTCTGCATATCATGTTTGCACTAGCCTTTTGCTTGCTAATTGCTTTAAAACTAAACAAAGAAAATTGCGTCGTACTCCATTAATACGTAAGATCCAGACATTAAAGAATGTAACAAGTTAATTTTGATGATGATTACTGTTACCTGATTCAAAATTTTCGGGTTTTAAAGGTCAATTACAATCGCGGCAGCTCCTGGTAGCTTTCCGGAAATTAAGATGATGATGCTTTTCGGTACAGGGGCATTGCTTTTGCGTGGTGCAGGGTGCACAATTAATGATTTACTTGATCGAGATATTGATACTAAGGTAATATTGTTTGTACTTGAAGAGGCAGCTATTTATTTTGTAATTCCCTCTTCGTATTTGATGTCCGTCTTTCCTCCTTGTAACGATTGTGTTTTTGATAGCTTGATGTGGTGTAGGTAGAACGGACGAGGTTGAGGCCCATAGCAAGCGGTGCATTGTCACCATTTCAAGGAGTTTGTTTTCTTGGTTTTCAATTGCTTTTGGGTTTGGGGATTCTTCTGCAACTGAACAATTTTAGGTTTGTACTCGTTATTAGTCTAATTTGCGCCGTAAATTGCTCTGCACGAGTTAACTCTTTTCTTCCAGTATTTACGCGGTGTGCTTCTTTCACTACTTGACTTTTGCATTTATATGTGTAGTTTAGTTCTTTTAAAGTTTTGGGTAAATTACGGCCACCTCCCGTGGTAAGGTCAAATTACAAAACCCTCCTCATGTTTGGGTAATTACAAACACTCCTTAACTATGAATCTTCTTACACGTTCACCATTGTAGTGTCAAAATTAGTGAAATCTTCTAGATTATGTGGAATATTCTCCTGTTTGTACCCGTTTTACCCCATTCGAGCTCCATATTTTGAAACAAGATGATCATAAGATGTGTCTTTTGGCTTGTATATATCAGATTGTGGTGCATCAGAAACTGCATTTTTGCACAAAACGAGTACAAACTAGAGGACATTCCGCGGAATGTAGAAGATTCTGTTGAATTTGACACCGCAAGGGTGGACGTGTAAGAAGATTCATAGTTGAAGGGTGGTTGTAATTATCCAAACAGGAGGGGGTTTTTCGTAATTTGACCTTACCTCGGGGGCGACCGTAATTATCCTAAAGTTTATAATGATATTGGATGTTTTATCAAATATCTGAAGAGAAAGCAATAAGGTTTTGAGCCTCATCAAATACCAATCCACAGATTGCATATGCCAAATCCTTTGGTTCAATCAGTAATATCCATGTTATTCTTCGAGTAACATTGTGGAGATATAGAACTGGTATAGAAGTTATATATCAGTGGAACCTCTACTTGCTGGAATCACTGAAACTATGAGTTGTTAAATAAATAGTGACAGATTGAAAGAACTAACGAAGCACGATCTAAAAACAAATGGTGTGTCGAGGAAATGTCTCCAACTACTTGGATTTGGTATTTTTCATGGTCTGGAAAAAGGATATTTGTGAGGGTGGTATGGAACTGTTAACTCTTGTTGGACGCCATTTTCTTAGGAAATAGGGGAATGTGCTGACATTGTATTTATTGTAATAAATAAAATGGCAAGACGTATCTTGCACTATTAAACGCACTTCAATTCACAAAAAAACGGAAAGATAATGATCTAGTTTGTATACGGATTGTTTATTGCTAAACTCGTGAAATATTTGCAGCGGTGTTTTGGGGGCTTCATCTTTGTTGCTCGTTTTTTCATACCCTCTTATGAAGCGACTGACATTTTGGGTAATTAAGTCTGATCTCTGTTCTTATTTATCCACATTCATCTTAAATTCCTTCTCTCTAGTATGTCTTGGGACACACACGCGCACACACACACCAAGAAAGCTGGTCCTGTTGACGGATTTGGACAGAAGATTCAGCTAATATATCCGAACTTATATTTACATCTGTGCAGCCTCAGGCCTACCTTGGATTGACATTTAACTGGGGTGCTTTACTCGGTTGGGCTGCTGTTAAAGGGAGTCTTGATCCAGCTGTCGTACTCCCTCTTTACGCGGCTGGTGTATTTTGGACCCTTGTATATGATACAATCTATGCTCATCAGGTATACAGCATACTTATTTTTTTTTTTTTTTTTAATCTCATGTATCAATATATAAATTCATTTGCCGACATGGGTATAAGCATAATTCAGGAAACAAGTCAAAAAGTAGGGGTTCTTGGATTTTTTGGAACTTGCCTTGTCAGTGACAACGCGTAATACATTTAGCTCCACTAGAAATATTAACTTATCAACTGCTTATAATATCTTGAATTTGAGTTTTGCAAATGATTATGATATTTCCGCTATCGTTTTCTTCCAATGCATGTGTACTTATTATCACATTAAAAATAAATTCTAAAACGACAATTAAAATTTTTGGTAAAATTGCACACTCAGGACAAAGAAGATGATATACGAGTAGGTGTCAAATCGACGGCCTTGCGATTTGGGGATTCGACAAAAGAATGGGTTTCTGGATTTGGAATAGCATGTATTAGTAGTCTCGCTCTTAGTGGATATAATGCCGAACTTGGTACGCTGGTCTCTTTTTCTTAATTCTCTCTCTGCTAATAAATAATTACACTCGTAACAATCCGTATATCCAACTTATATTTTTATTCATTTATTTATTTAATGTTTTGGCTTCCTTAGTCACTTCGATGTCTTTGCTGTTGGTTTGTAACAGAATGGCCCTATTACACATTCTTAGCTGCTGCGTCTGCTCAATTAGCTTGGCAGATTTCGACAGTTGAGCTTTCAAGTCGTGCTGATTGCAACAGAAAGTGAGTACTCAAATGCTTGATAGATAAATTTAATCAATGTTTGTCAAATGTTTCGGGTTTAAGTTTCAAGCCCCATGATTAATAAAAAAAACTGACCCGGAGTTTAATCAAATAAAAGAATATTACCCAATACAAGTATTTTATAATAATCGACAATCTCAAGCAAGGCCTATCTCTAATCTTACATACTTCCAAGCAGACTCCATCCTTGAAATTAGCTTTGATAAATATTAACATAATCGAAATTTATGCGTACGTATGCTCGATTGTTCTTTCTTTTCTTTTTTTTTTTTTTTAAACTATTGTGTCCTTTTCTCTTTTCTTTATAATCAGATTTGTATCCAACAAGTGGTTTGGAGCAGCCGTTTGCAGTGGGATTCTGTTCGGAAGGCTCTTATCCTGACGGTACGAACTCACCTTTTTTAAAGACAGCCGTGTGTCGTTACGGCTGTTACGATAATTTTACTCAAATAGGTGGATGACATTTTTTTGTTTCTTTTAGTCTTAACATTTGTAAGTGTTACCTCTCTTCATTTATCAACCCGAGTTAATTTGCTATATATATATATATTGGTCTTAACTATGTATTTTTTTACGAAATAACCCCTCCTTCAGTAGGTAAATTTGACACCGTAAAGTAGACGTGTGAGACAATACATAATTGAAGAGTGATTGTATTACTCAAACATACGTGTTTTTTTTGGTAATTTAACCTTATATTAGGGGTGTCCGTAATTTGCCCTAAAATAATTATTACTCTTCTTTTTTATTTTTTTTATTTTATTTTTTTATTTTTATTTTTTTGTTGGGGGTGCAACAGCTGGTGATGTCAATCAAACTGATGTAATGTATTTTATTGAAATTCTTTTTGTGGTTCCTATTTTTTCTAGAGATGATGCTTTGCCCCCACAATGTAGCTGTTATTGTGCCAATCAGATTGTCGTCTTCGTACTAATTTATTTAATGAATAAATAATTAATAAATTGCAGTTGGAAGTGATTGTAAAATAATGCTATGGACTAATTTAAAAAATTAGAGGATTTTTTTTAATATAGAATCCACTATAATCTTTATTGTTACATAGATTATAAATAATAATGTGAAAAATCACAGTTTACATTCCTTAAGTTTGTCTGATTTTACTTGTTATCCATATTCAAAAAGACACATTTGGTTCTTCATGTTATAATAATTTAACATTTTTTATTATTTCCGTCAATTTATCGTTAATTCGTCAGTTAATGCAGTGATGGGCACAAGCTTGATTCTGTTAGTACTAACGAAAAATTGACGGAAATGACAAAAAATGTTGATTTTTTTGAAATATGAGGGACTAAATGTGTTTTTTATGAACATTAAGAACAAAATATGAAATCACTATAAATTTGAGGGATGAAACTGTATTTTTCCCTTATAATAATCTATGAAATGCAAAGTCGATATATGACTCGTGCTCGAAAAATCTGGCGAGCTCGATTAATACACTCGGTGAAATACACGGGCTAATTTCATATTTTGATTTACATTCAATCACACATAAATACACGTGTATATGTGCAAAATAAGAAGAAATAAATGTTTGAAAATGATTTGACATTCCAACGAAATTAACAATCTTTTTAGAATGAAAATATAAATGCTACTTGCTACAAAGTATATAATAATTGTGGACCCCAGTCTTCGCAGATTTGGGCTGGCAGTGGTTGGGCCATAACAAACACCAAAATTTCCTAACTTACAATATGAGTCTTGGGGTTCCAATACCTAATTATTATTTTTAATATTTATTTCAAAATATTATTCATTATTATCTAATTTATTATTAATATTTAAATAAGCCTCTTTTATCATCGTACATTTTCAAAATTTCCTTCCAAACCCTATTCTCGTAGTCATCCGAAAAGTCCACCTAGCACCGGTGTAGTCGCCGGCGAAGATGAATTCTACGGATGGAAAATTGAACCAAAATAAAGAGAGAACTTGTCTAAGATATGATCGCGATTACATAATTATAGCACCATATCTTGCATTTTCATTATCTATTTACGGAAGAAATTCCTGGATCGTACCCCTCTATTATCCTAAGATCAGCTCGTCACTTACCGCGTATCATTTTCTCATCTCCAGGTGCGCCAGGGACGATTGGCGAGCTTTCTACCTACTGAAATGGTACTCATATTGTCGCGTCTTTAGAATGTGAATCTTTTATAGCCCATTAAGCGAGTTTTCTGTCCACCTCGACACTTATGGACACTTATGGCCTATTAGACGAACTCTTAGCTCGTTTCTTCTCTAGTGATCCATTGGCCTTGAACCGATAAAATCCCTAAAATTTAATTTTTAATACAAAATAAAATAAAACATCATTATATTATGTAAGCAATGACCCGAATTGAATCCCTAAAAACTATATGTACAAAACATATATACTTGTTCCAGATCTTTTGTGTATTATTATATTTATTATGTCAGTTGAGGAAATTTAATAGGGAGTTGTGTTTGTGGTGTGGATATTATGATCAGCTGGTTTTAGGACCACCATAACAAATTTAAATATATTTTTTTTCTACAATAATAATAGTAATAATTATTATTATTAAAAAAAAAAATGTGTTTTTATTTCTTCTTATTGCAAAGAAACATAAAAACAAGACATGTGATAGTCCATCACCGGCCATGTTCTTGCAGTGTGCAAATATGAACTAAGTGACAAGAAATCTCTCTTCAAAATAACCAAATCTTGTTCTACACCCAACCACTACTTCCTTTTAGCCTCACATTTTTTTATACGAGCTTGATAAATGCAGGACGGCTTTTAGTAAATGCAGGACATTTTATTTGATAAATCAACAACCCCGACTTTTTTCTTTCAAACCTTTATTTTGCTGGAATATCGCATTATTAATCGTCAAAACACGAGTTTATCAAATTTTGTGCATACCTCAGACGCTCGTTTTTTCTGGATTTGTGAAGCTTTCTTAGATTGAATTGTTCCACCATTTTTTTTTTCTAATCCATAAAAAAATCTCCGAAAAACTATTCACTATGTGTAGAAACTTCTAGTTTCTTTTAATTTCAAGATAAATATATGGATAAATTTTGAGTTCAGATAATTTTTCCCAATTTAATTCTAAAAGTTCAAAATCATTATTTAAATTTAGAAATTCAACAGCATTAAATATAATAAATTTTTAAAAAAATGACCTATGTTTACTAAAAACCCGTCATTTATTTATCATTTAAGTGTTTTATAATACTACTATTAATAAAAAAAATCAATTTATTTTGTTGGTCTTTGTTTTGCACAATTTGGCATAAGACAAGCCCTATGTGCTCTACCTAACATTTTTGTGAACAAAATAATCAATTTGGCTTTGAAGAATAATAAATTTAATTTCTACATGAAAAAAAGGCCTAAAAATACTTAAATTTTCATATAAAAATCATTATTTTAAATCAAGTCCCCAATAAATATTTCGATATCATATAGGCCCTCATGCTCACACCTAACCCAAAAACATGCTCATTTAATCCTACGCGTAACCATGTCTGACCAATAATTCTATATTACAGTAGAACCTCGATAAATTAATAATCTCGCTTAAATAATAATTTCTTTCAGTTTCGACTTGGTAAAACATATCAAATTAATTAGTTCGACAATTTAATATTTCGCTATTAACAAAATTTTGTTAATCGAACTGCATTAATATTATAGAGGTTTAACTATAATAATAATTAATTATTAATATAATATCAATTAAATTAAAAAAAACTAATGAGATATTATTCCCTCTTGGTACAAACCGACATAAAAACCCGGCCGTACTTTACCGTATGCAACTTATATATATGCACATGGACATGGGCATCTCAATTATTTATTTCCCACCTATAAAAAGTATTAATAGAAAATGACAAAAAAGTCCTCTGGCTCGTACGATATAATCAGTTGACAGTTGATAACCTGACTCATCAAGGGATTATAAAATTTAATTTTTTTTTTCCAATATATTTTATTAATTTTTTTAATTAAATAAAGCCACTTTTGATGTTTATATTATACATAACTTTGTTTATTCGGTAAAACCGTACCGGGATTTCTTGTAAATTGAAATTTCGGTACTTCAAAAATTTGTACGGTTCGATACGATTTTTTACCGAATTATTTCGGTTTAGTTGGTTCGGTACCTGTCAAAATCGGAAATATATTTTCTTATCTTAAAAAAGGTGAAAAGAAAATATTTAAACTAATTAATTCTTGAGTCTGACATCCAAAATTTCAATAATCGGTCCTAAAAAGTAAAAACAACAACAAAAAAAAATCAATCTATAAATATTTGTAATTTGTTAGAACCTTAAACGATTTAAAATAAAGGGAAAATATTATAAATATATATTATATATTTGACATTCGATACGGTATACCGGACATCAGTACAGTATACTATACCGAACACCCAAAATTTTTAAAAGGATATAGCCAATATCAAACCAAATTTTCGATTCGGTATGTAGCATTTACCGAATTTTTAGTTCGGTACAATTTATCGACCGAGTGAACGCACCTAAAATTAAATATTAAAAAAGGCTACTTAGACCCACCGAAATTAGTTATTCATGTTTATTACAATCACTTTCTAAGCATTAAGGTTTAAGTTAATTATATAGTATTATTCATTTAAGTTATAGATGAGTTTAATGGGGTGAGTCATGACCAATAACCCCTTTTACATTTATTTTTTTAATTTACAAATGATTTAATTATTAATGTGTTGTCGATAAATTCAATTTCCAGATTTTACAGATTTATGTTTATTACAGTTTGACCCCCTCCTGGGGTCCCTGCCGCAATTTTCTATTCTTCCACAGACTTATCTTTGGAAGACAACACCAAGATTGATTATTTGCATTTTGACCCCCACCTGGGGTCAAAACAGCAATTTCCGTTGGAGGACAACACCAAGATTGATTATTTACAGTTTGACCCCCACCTGGGGTCAAAACAGCAATTTCCGTTGGAGGACAGCACCAAGATTGATTATTTGCAGTTTGACCCCCACATGGGGTCAAAACAGCAATTTCTGTTGGAGGACAGCACCAAGATTGATTATTTGCAGTTTGACCCCCACCTGGGGTCAAAACAGTAATTTCCGTTTTCATCATTTACCTAGTTTAGCTTGTTTGCTTTCTTACCCTTCTCTTTGGGGCATTTGTGTAATAGCCTAGATAGGTCTCGTTTTGATTTTTTATTACCATTATAGGGTTAGGTTTTAACGAGGCCCTAAAACTCCTATCAATAATAGAATAATAAATTTTTTTGGCCAAATAAAAAAAAAAAATTCATCGTGTAATAGCTCACAAATTATATCATGTCTAATTATATTGTGCTACGGATTTAATCTAAAAAATATCGATAAAAAAATCTATGGTATTTTTAGAGGATGTTTAGCTAAGCTTGTAAGCTGTTAAAAAGAGGTTCTAAACTATTTAAGAGTTATAAGCTCTTACAAAGTGTTTGGGAAAATTCTTTAAAAAAAGATCAAAAAATTCGAAAACAAGCTTCTGGAGATTTTTTAAGATCTTTTAAAAAAATACCTATAACCAAACTTTTTATTTAAGATCTTATAATGTGTTAAACTAATTTGTTATAAGTTCATTATCTAAACATTTTAAAAATTTATTTCAAAAAATAAGACGTAACAGCTTATCAACTTATCAGACGTAAGAATTCATGAGTTGTTCCATTGCTTACAACAATTTAAAAAAGATATATCTTTTGATCTTATCAATTTAAAAAAAGAGTTCTTATCAACTCTTATCTCACGGTTTGTTAGTTGGATCTTGTCTTAATCTTGATAGGATTTCTATTAAGGATAACAAATAATTGGGTGCTTAAAGGAATAAAAAAAGCAAGGTTTTTATGGAGATAAGTGAAATATAAGGTAATTATTTTGCTATTTAAGTTGTACTTTACATAAAATAAATAATGGTGAACAAGCAAGACTGACTAGTTTGGTGCGTTGAATAAGGAAGGCTTATATATACAGTTAAAACTTTATAAATTAATATTGTTGGGATCAATCAATTTTTTTAAAAAATATTATTAAATTTCTCCTTTTAATGTTATTGTGCTATTTGTTTATAATTAAATTCAATTTGATTAAATCTTTACTCAAAAAAAAAAAAAATTTGATTAAATCTAACAAATATTAATTTTTTTTGTTTGACAAAGATTAAATCTAACAAATTAGTTATAAAGGAACATTAGAATCCCCGGGATAAGATTTTAATTAATTGTGACAGCTTTATGCTGATCATGTCTTTAACTTTTTATTGCCAAAAAATGGACAAAAGGAAAATGTAAAATATTTAATAAAATAAAATAATATATAATTGAGATAATTATTGTGAAAAAAAAAAAAAAAAAAAAAAAAAGGAGAAAGGCTTTGTGAAAGAGTGAAGAGAGAAAGTGACCGTATACGGAATATGCATACGGTACAGTACACGTAGTGACACACACACACACTTGGTTTTGAAGTGGGTCCCACTTTTGGGAATCCTAACTCACACCCCCCCACCACCCCACCCCCCCCCTCTCAATGGGTGTTTATGTTTTTCTGGTGGCAGGCCATACATGGGGCACGTGCTTCTAAATGACCAAAATATCCTTCTCCTATTTCCAAGGTCACTATTATTTTATTACCAACTTTGACAAGAATACCCTTTCATGAATGCTTTGTTAGGATCATAGATGAATGAATATTTTAGGGGTCTCTCTATCCACAATTAATTTGTATTACTGCGTTCTTTGTTTTTTTTTTATTATTATTAAATAATTAATCTTATAATGTGGCCTTAACCTTTTGGTTGAGATAGTCATTCAATATAATATCAAAGTCAGATCAAATGAAAGGTCTCGAGTTTGAATCTCGCCGCTACTCGTTTTTAATATTTTAAGTGCAAAACTTTAAATATAATTACGATCATTATCGACATGTTTTCCCTTTAGAAGTAGGATAATTTATGATCATGTCAAAATGCTTTATATATAATTATGATCATTATCGACCCGTTTTCTCTTTTTTAATATAGAACAACTAACAAGAAAATTCTTTTAATTTTATATTTTTCGGAT